AGGAGAGTGGGGCGGGTCACGTTGTAAAGTGCATATTCGAAACTGTTTTGTTAGCCCGCAGTGAAATATTGAATATTCCGTATAGTTATCTTGACGGTAATTCTCCAGGTTTGCATTTATGTATAGTGCACCACTCAAATGCTGCAGGTTCCGTTGTCAGGTTGGAGTGGAAATCGTTTAGTTTCCGGTGGTTAGCAAGGTATCGTTATTTTTCTGGACGACTCTTTATTACACTACTGAGTTTCCTTATTTTTAAGTAGACTAACAGTGTTGTTGAATAGCGATAGTCTTTTAAACTTTTCACTAATCACTACCATCAGATATTAATCACCCAGGTTTCAATTGCTTTAACCAAGGATTTCAATCTTGATGATCCCACCATTTATTACAGGGTCGTCAAGAAAAGAACAGCTCAAATCTCTGGTCCAGATCTATCTTGAATTAGGGCCTGGTGCCGCCACCTTGTCAAATCTAGGTTATTAATTCTCTAAATGGTATGCACGACACTTTCCTAGGGCTTTGAAGTTAAGGTAACGCTGTTAGTTCATGAACAAGTAAGGGAAATTTGGGAGGAGGAGGAAAGAAAGCTGAGAAAACCCTGTACTGTACCATGCCTTCTAATCGCGGCCCCCCCCCACCCCCCCCCCCCCCCCCCCCCCCCCCCCCCCCCCCCCCCCCCCCCCCCCCCACCCCCCCCACCCCCCCCCCCCCCCCCACCCCCCCCCCCCCCCATCCCACCCCCCCCCCCCCCCCCCCCCCCCCCCCCCCCCCCCCGATAAAGTGGAATATTTATATATAACTGATCACAAGTAGTTAAAATAGAAAAGGAATGTGCAAACTCGCTTAGGAAAGGCAGCGCCATTATCTCATAAAATGAAATAAGCGCCAGCATGTGGTTAATTTTCCGAAATATAAGGGTGTCCATGTTTAGCGTATGGTTTGTAAGTACCAATTGTTTTGCAGTGGGCGTTACCTGTAGAAGTGGTGACCGCATAAGCGAAATGATGACCGGAATCATTGTAAATCGTTAGATAATAGACAGTGTGTGTGTAAACCTGCCCAGTGCTGGCAAGCGATATCTATATATATTTATATATAGGTTTATTTATATATTTATGATAAGTTATATTGAACTATGTAGGTCGTGCATATTAGTATTGGTACACATATGGAATTATTTTATGTCAGGTGGAGGGTATCAGATGGCAGTTTAAACATGGAATTATGAACTGTGTGACTAGGGTGAGATTTATACTAAGTTTGCATATGTGTATTAATATGTCAATGTGCGAATGCTTAGACATACAAAGTAAAACTATATGAATACGTATATACCTAGGTATGTTGTTTGAGATATATAGCTATAGATATATATGTATAAATAAAGTATGTAAGGGATAATTGTTTGTTCATAACTAATAAATACATATGTACATCAATGTTTGTGTGCCCCATGCTGAGGCTGATTTTGCATTCTTGATGCTTCTTCGCCGCAGTTGGGCTAAACCAACTTACACTTAAACTAAGTCCTTGGCAGCTGAATAAGATCCGCTCCGCTTTATTTGGTTTGTTCTGCCTACCTGACTAATATTCTATTTACTGACCAGGTTGCTCACGCTAACTGCGCTTACCTTCGGTAACTTCGTGGCGTTTGTAGCATTTTCAAGTAATTTGGGCACATTTTTATTTATCGTGAATCGGTTGCTAACATACTTACTTCATATGCTAATGTATGAGGAGTTATGTCACCGTATCTTTGTGCATTATTGGAGTTATTTTATTTCAAGTTGTCGTTTCAAATGATAGGCCGTTGCTTGATATCCCCGGTGTGATTGCGCTTGATGCGCATGTTGACAAGATGCCTACTTGTCTATTATCCACTACCTCTTCCATACTAGCGCCAGGAGACAGTTGCTCATTGCTGGAGGGGACGGGTACATGGTCCTTGTGGCCGTGCTTGGCTCCAAGAGCGGTTGCATGCAACCTGTGTAAAGCGGGCTATGGTCCAGTCATCGCCTTGCGTGCGGATGAGTCCTTAAGTGCAGCTTGCCTGTGTTTGCCTGTGAAGGATTGTGGGCCGACTTCGTTGATGCAACGGGGCTTCGTTTCCACATGACGCCCGGTCGTATTCATCCTGGTTTACAACGGACGTGGGGTGGGTGGTTGGAGCTGTGAGTGGTGCTGCACAAGCCACCCGTGGTCCCACTGTATGCGCAGGCTTCCTTTGGCGGATCAAAGTGACGGGCCAATCCGAAACCCATGGCCGCCCACCTTTGTACATGTGTATTCAGTATTGCATGTGCAAGGCTTACTACATGGAAAAGTAAAATTCCAAGTTTTTGGGACTGCTATGTTGCCAGAACTAAACGTAGACGTGTTATTTTCAAAAGGGTTTGTGGTACACAATTGCGGACACGCAGGAATCTGTTATTTTTTGCTGGTGACTTCAGCTGTTCCATGAAGTTATCTTCAGCCCCATACCTGCTTGGTATCCTAAAGGTAAGGTAATTGATTCTCGCAAAGTCAAACGCCTTTGCATAAAGGGATGAAATATATGTATCAAAAGGATTAGCTAATTTGTGCGTAGATGGTAAGGTTTTGGACAAAAAGGTGTTTATGCTAATTTTCAAATGTTTAATGGAAGTGAAACTGCATTACCGTGGTGAACGCGGAGTAAGAAAGATGGAAGTCGAGATGGGTTACCTTGATGGATAAATTAGGCGTAGTCCTCCTTGCGAATTGATGTTCACTAAAGATGCAGCCGCCTTTGGGGCACTTTTAAGTGAGTTGCTGTGTATTTATAAAGTAAAAAGCTGCTGGAGTGACATGGCATAATAAATATCGTGTGATTTTTGGGCGTAACGGTATGCCATTCTGATAGGAACCGATGCACAGGACCACGTGGTACTGCTATACACAGTGCGCTTATGACGCGGTGTCTTTATCAGGTGGACAGTCGAAGGCTCAAACCATAAGCAAATATTCTCGTCTAAGTGGGGAGCTTTGCGAACTCTCATCACCCACCGAGCGAGAATACTGATAATGGTTCATCATGTGGTTTCACAGGGCGAAATGAGTGCGCAAGCGAGTAAACATAAAAAGTGGAGGGAAACGGGGAAACAAGCTTTACGAACAACCCACTGTTACGGCTGTAATTTCATCTTGGAAATTGACTGCATAACCGAAACATACCACCTTCTTAATGGACGATCAAGTTTTCCATTACTTTCAGTCTTGCGTCGCACGTCATAGTGGAGTGTTGGAAGTTTACAGAACTACACACTTAACCTGTGGTCGGGTGGTCTGCTGCAAGGAACCTGCAGCCATTTATGTTTCCTTTGCTAGATGGGTCGACAAGGCACAGTGACCTGGGGTGGTATAAAGAAGGCCGTTGGTCCGTTCTCTAAGGAATTTGAAACCTTGACCAACCTGGAAAGCGGTAAATGACCGGAAGCGGTATTTTGGCATGTGGCGGCCAATGGACTAACGTGACAGGAAGATGACAAAGGGCAGGCCAGTTGTACAGTGGCAGCGCTAATCATGGCGGCGGAGGTCGGCGCATGTGTACTTTGGCTCTGGAACTGATATCCTTAATGCAATGCAATGTTACCTGTGACTACGAATAATACTTGCATCATGTGGTCGAACCAGGAGGTGCGAGGAAGGCCAGTCGTAGCGGCAAGCAGGACGGCGGAGGGTGACGCATGTCAACTTGGGCTCTGAAAACAAAGTCCTCATAGAAAAAGGATCTTACCGGCGGCTAGGAATCACTCTTGCATCACAAGGTAGCACCAGGCGGTGCGAGCCTTGGCAGTTGCAGCGGTAACCAGGAAGGCGGCGCATGTCTACTTGGGCTCGGAAAGCGAAGACATCACTGAAATGCAATCTTACCTGTGCCTAGCAACCACTGGATGTACAATGGATGAACGCCATCTGCGGGTTCCAGTGCTGGATGCTAAACAACGACCGCAATAACAGTGCATGGGGGAAGCAATGATGTCCGGGGTTAAGTGAACACCGTAAGCCTTCGCTTGGAGTATTTGTATGAACAACGTAAGAAATTGGCGTTGTTCTTAAAGCCTTCAAGGTAACTTGGAGCCAGTGACCAAGTCCGCATACAATTCTGAATTGCTATAGGTGCCATCAAGCTAACGCAATGCCATGTCGAAATGTGAGGCGGGCCCACCCTAAAGCGTTGCGCCCTCACGTAGGATAACCTCGTGGTCACAGCCTGGGAGAAAGGGAAAGCCTACATCTCCGTGATCTCTGCGCTCTACACACCCCTCATTAATAGACGGGTTACAATTGTACAGCCTCCTTGGACGTACCATACAGATGAATACCTGCCACGAAAGAGTTCTACGTGCTGGGGAACTTACAAAACGGCCCCATCAATCAGCATTTAGAAAAGCCATACTGCGGTTAGAAATATATATGTATGTATGTCTGGTAACATTTTTCGTATTCGTAGGTTAGGGTGAATGCCTAACACATGCGAAGAAAATCCAAAGGTATTGTAAACTTACGGAAGGCTACCTAGCCGTACAAAGTAGTCCACATAAGCTTTACTAACCCCTGACGTGAGCCGTTGGCAAACTGACCACCATAATGTTGGTATACTGGGCGAGCGGTACACTGGCTCCCTCCTTATCGTGTGGCCTCCATACTTTACGTTCAGGTACTCCCAAACATCACGGAGGATTGCTGCATACCTTAAATCCCTATTAGGGATTGCCAGTTCTTTCTGCTAATGTACTGTGTAAAGCATTCCAAAGATTCCGTCCCTGAACCTAATCATCCAAAGGATAATGTCCTTTGGACAAGACATGAAAAGGTCCGTAGGCATTGCGCGTTAACACCTTTGCCTGTCCGACAGGGATTGCAACACCGAAGAAATGCAACGTACTGTATGCGCAACTTACATTACCCGCAGCAGCGCATATATGTGTATGCAGCCTCTCCTTAGTATGCTGCACATGTCTGATGAAAGCTTCGTGGGCGTACCTCACAACGTATCCAGTCGACTTGTTCGGAACACGGGGAGTAGTCGTCCTCCTGCAGACCCAGAGCGCATACGGCGCTGTCCACATCCGCCGCTCCTGACATCCTCCCTTTACGCCACGTAGTTGTGCGGTGCTGCTCGGAGATCGTGGTTTTCAGCTTACGGCCTTTCAACCCGCGTGACATGCTACTGGTAGCCGCAAAGTCGATCACACGTGGTATCAACGCTGATTTACGTTTGTTATGACTGCCGTAACTGTCAATCCGCTACGAAACCATAGCCCTGCCTCCCCGAACGGGACCCTTGGTTCCCGTGTGTTTACGATGCATGCCTCAAAGACGAAGAAAGGTGCCGGAACCCCGCCCCGGCAGCAGAATCGGTGGACGCCGCATCCCCTTGTTGGAAGGTGGGCAGGTACTACGATAAACGTTGCAATTGTTGTACGTTGGATGACCGGGCAAGCACTTCCACATTACTAGGACCCGCCAGGAGCTCCCAAAAGCATGTCATCACGTACATCGTTCTAGTGAACACCTCCGTGCCCAAGCTCAAAAATGCGCCTCCATGCCACCAACAATATCACGAGCAATGCGAATTTTTCCAGTGCGGTCAAGCACACTATCACTACGGGCTGGCATCTGCGGGACCGTAATTATTCCCTCCGTGTCATCCGACATGTCCGCCACACCAATGTTTTCCGCTGAGAACACATAACGACAACCGCGAAGCAATACCTCTTCCTCGTATACATGCAGGCCAGCAAGCTGCGCAATGTGGACATATGGAATGCGCCACTG